AGGAAGTAAGCAAATGGTATACACAAAAAGTGAGATTGAATTAATTTAATTCATTTTCATCATCTTTTTGCTAAACCTTCGAAAATCTGCTTTGAAAAATTTTAAAAAATAAAAGTAAATACATAAAATTGTCAAATATATTGTTTACATTCATTGCATTGCATTAATAATGTCTGAATTATTGAAACTTACAAACATTCTTTGTTGATGACCAGGATATCCTCGAGCTCTCACGGTAAGTTTTGAATTTCCCGAATAACAGATTATATCCTCGTTATCATTGTTGAATGCTACACTATTACAATTGGGCTCCTGAAGAAATTTATATACAAAAATTTAGATTTCAAATCTTCTTTAAAATTTGTATCCCTCACTTCGAATAGGACTTCTTTCGTTTTTGCATCAAAAACAACGCATATTCCACTATCGTCAACGACAGCGATATGTCTTCTGAACAATAAAAGGTTACCATTTTGAATGAACCTTTACAGCATTGCAGTGAAATTACCTGGTTACGCTTATGTCAATGCATTTTATTGGCCCATTCAACTTTAAAACTTGAACGGGAAATGGGTTGTCCACAAAGAGTTTGCAGACCTGAAACCACAGCATATTATAATAAAGAAACTACTTTCTAGTAAAAACAAGCCATTCAATTCGATTGCGTTGCAAATTTTTGTTATTTTTAAAGGCCACATAACAGCATGGTTACCGTAATCCCCAAAAAACACCAACTTGGAGCAAAACATGGTAAATGCAACTTGCTTTGAAACAAAAAAGGTAAATCTTTTCTAATACTTTTAGAAGTTTCTAAAGTATGCATAATCTAATTATTTACGATGCAATAACCAGTTTTTGTAAACATGTAAGTAATACTGGTTTTATGCAAGGAATGAAATTAAGTGAAGGAAAAATAAATGAAAGGTGATTTTCTCGGAAGTTGTATCAGCCGATTTTCTGAAACTTTCTTAATAAAATTGTTGTTTTAGATATTAAATAGATGATTTGAAGGCTGTCTGGAAGATTGAGAAAAGGTTTAGGTAAATTTACCTGCCCCTCACGCAAGCCGATTAGTATGGTTTCACGTCCCGGTGGCCCTCCAATCACCTAGAAATGTGTAGTAGATCCGGAGTCTCCCTTAGTGAAGATGTACCCATTACCTTAATGTACCTAATCGCCGACTCAAGTTGCCATTCTCTTTGCTTCAGACCTTTATGGTCGTAGCACTGTAAGCGTCGTTCATCACAAAGAATTAGATGATTCGAGCAAACTACCTAAACAAACATATGGGAAAATAACAGATACATGGGTAAACTTAAGACTTACCAATAAGGAGCAATCAAAGGCTTTGTTAATACGTTCACATAGGGTATATTCAAGCTGTTCACTTTCGCCATCGCCTTTAATTTGGCGATAGATGTGTAAACGATCGGAGAGTTGTACCTAAGAACCAGGTCTTAGCCCAATTTTAGAAGAAGGATGAAATTTGAATGAAGTGTCTCACAGCAAGTTTGTGCCCATAGATGGCGACTTTCTTGACAAGGTCGTTACATCGGATACGGGTCATTGTGTGATGAATTAGATGTTGCACAACTACATCGGTCATGTTGTCTCTGGAGACAAGAAAAGTTGATTTTCTTACAAATTTTCATCAGGTTACAAAATTCTTGCAGTTTTAGATGAAAAGTCTTTTAGAAAAGTTAAAAACCTGCAACTAAATTTGTAATAAAATAGAAAAAAACAGTGATTACTTTACAACCTTTGTTCCAAGGTTTCGAAAAAACGTGATCTCATCAAAAAAAAAATCGAAAAAACGTTCAACCGTTGAGTTCTATGTGGCTTTACAGGTAGCGTAACGCAATTACGGTAATTTTTGCAAAATTTTGAGATATAAAATGGTTATTATAACTGGTCAACGGAAGCAATCCCATCAAACATGTTGCGTTGCTAGAACTAATTCAGGCGTAATGTAAATAGTGCCTCACTCAAAATACAACTTTATACCTACATCATTGTACTTCAATTAATCCTGCTTTAAGAAAAGAAATAAAAGGTGCATTTTTGGGTGGAAATCTAAGTTTGAGCTTGCTCCAAATAAACTTTCGAATCGACTAATGGACAAACAGAAATTACGCTTTTCCGGGACTCCTGTTCGCAAAGGATCCACGATATACGTAGATTCTCTACAAACAATTATTGCGCATACATAGACTTCCCTACC